CACCTCCAAAGCTTAAGGCATACTATAGTCTCTTTCAAATATGTGCTTAAGCCTTTCTAATCAATTAGCTCTCTTTCTTTTATTCGAACATATTGTTAAAAATAAACTTTTTCTAACCTTTTTGAAAAGCATAACTAAAATTACGTCCTCAAAAGCCAAAATTGAAGTTTTCTCATGAAATTGCACTTTGTTCATATTTTACTCACCAGAGCACCACTACTCAGAAGAATCATAAAGACAATGAAAGTCTCAAACCAGTTGTGTTCAACAATTCTGAAGCAGGTTTTCCTAAGGTTCCACCACTGTTTTCCTCTCCCCTCTTCTACACTTACTTGACAGCACTTGAACCTTCGTACACAGCCTATAAAAAAGCATGTATTGTGAAAACTAAAGAGAGGATTTTTGCTGAATTGTATTACTGTTGATTATGCATTCTGTTAGGGATACAACCACTACTTTTCCACAAACAGTGTTATCTAGTAAGACCCAGCAGATTTTATCTAAAAGTCCTTTTTTTTTCTCTCAAAGCAAGAAAATTAAGCAATGTGACTATTAGAATTTACAATTAAATGAAAGAATTAGAAAAATTATTTCTGATTTTTAAGGAACTAATCAAATGCTCAATATGATACACACAAGAAGATAAACTCCATGCAATATGAAGGCAAATTATAAAATTCAAGGTAAAAATACACTAGCAAATGTCATTCACATTTGAGGTAAGTTTATGTACTATTATAAGTGAAAGAGTAATTAAATTGTACTTTTTTCATGTTTTGGAGAGTTGATTAAACATTTTTTGTATTTATAGTGTGAAGCTCAGTTCCGAATACTGAGCTTTTCTCTAATTTATGCACTTAACTTATTTAAGATTTACCTTTGACTTAGCTGTTAACTTGATTTTGTTTCCTCTTTCATTTATTTTAGGCAGAAAATGCTTATAATCATTAATGTTATTCTTTACAAAAGCCAGCTCTGTAAGAGTATTACTTCTTACTAGTCGAGTGTAATTTGTAAAGAAATCTGTCTGTCATCACGCCCAGGAAAATATCAATCCCAGTGCTGAAAGCAGCAATTATTTTCCAAACTCTATCTGGGCCAGTACTTCATACTTCATTCTAGTATGAAGGTGCTTTTTCAACTTGTGTTTCTCTGTCAAGTATTACTACAGAGCCCCTGGCTTGACTCACCCTATTTCAGGAGAACCCTAGAATACATAGTCAGCTTTTCAGACTATGCCCATGATATCTCTTTGATTAACAATCCATAGGTGATACTGACCTAAACAGATTTGGATTTATCAATGCTAACCTTTTCTTATGTTTTCACCTTCTACATATCTCATGTACAAGGCTACCTATCAAAGCCAGCTATTTCTGTTTTTCTTGTATATACCTTTTAATTGCTGGATTCTAGTTATGATTAGAGCATTTTAATCATATCAGAGTTATTATTATATCATACTGTTACATAACTATAGGGGTAATTGAGTTTTCTTCAGTTTGGTCTATAAGCAGCTTGGCAGGTACCCAAACACTGCTGTTGTCTTTTATTGGCCAGAGCCAGTTTCTGTCAGGATCTGGCAGTAATTTTCTCCTCTCAGACAAAGGCAGGAAGTTAAGATTATTACTTACATCAGTTATAATTTGTTTTTTGAGTCAAGGCATCATCCAGTATACTTGCATTTTCAGAATCTAAATTTTGATTATAGGTACTAAAACTGACATTTGTATGTTTATATTACAGTCATAGATCTAGTCCCTTGTCTCACCTGCTTCCTACACATACACACACACTCATGACGTTTCTCACAAGCAAGGAAAATAACTTAGCAAAACATGTTATATCCTGTTATATCAAGTGGTGCAAAAAGCCCAACTTTTTGAATGGAAACTTGAAGGATGAGTGAGTCAACTGGATGTGCCTGTTATTTTTTTCCTGAGGTGGCACACAAAGGCTTTTCCTTCTCCTTTTGCCAATTTGTAGAAGATTCATTTAGCATTTTGCACAAGACCATCCAGCTGCAATTTTTATTTACCAGTCAACAGCCATTTCAGCAATGAAGAGTGCTATGAAAATGTGTTATTTTGTTATGTAATTAGACTGTAAGTCAATTCAGGCAGTATAGTAGTTGGTAGTAAAATAAAACTGAGTAATATATTTCTGTCCTATTAAAAATAATGATAAATTTCTGATAAACTTATGTTTTCTTAATTGTTATCTGAAAGATCATATCATTATCAGTATTCATATTGTAAACTGTGCTGTAAAAGTACAGTAAATTATTCTCTAAAAATCATAGGCTGAAGATTGCCAAGTTTAAATGGATTGTACATTTATTCCATATTTCATGAATAAGTATTATTTTTGTTCTGATCACCTTCTGTGAAGCAGGCCTCTGGCTCCTGGGCTTCTTCAGGTTCAATTTCTGGTTGTTCTTCTGCAGGAAGTCCAATGTCAACTGTGCTGCCTTCAGAAGAACTGGACAAATTTAGCTTCTGTAAAGAAGAGAAAGGATCACAAATGCACAATGAATGCTTTTAAGGAAAACATCACTTTTTAAAATAAGGAAATAATTCTTATGGTTTCGAATGTTTTAATATTCAGTGTAAGTGAATAGCTGAAAAAAATACTTAAGTAAAATTTATAAAATTTTTGGTTTTCCTTCTGCATTGCAGGGGTCCTATGGGTGTATCAGTGATACGTATTGCTGTAAATGAAATGACATTTTTAAACTGAAAAGTGTGAATGATGGTCTGTAGCTTGCGAAGAGTTATGACTACATGTAACAATAAGTAGCAATGATGTATTGAACAGAACAAATAAATCTAAATAAACATAAAAAATTTCAGAGAGTCCACTGAAAGGTGGGTAAGAGACTAAATAATACAAAATAAACAAGGTGGGAGCTCAGAGGAGTGAGAGTAAAAAGCATTGATCACTATATAAAGCTGTAATTTAGAGATCAGCAAATGACAGATTAAAATTGCTGAAAGGCTAGCTCAGGAGAGGAAGCAGCAAGGAGGGTGAGGTACATTAATGACAGCCGATAAGACAGTAAGCTACATTTCCTAATTCAGTCAAGTTTTTAGTAACACGATGGCCATAAAGACTGGGAAGCGGAAGGTGGAAACCAAACTCAAATACCGTTAATGCATTTAAACCAATCCCCACTGCAACATTCTGTAAGGCACTAGAGGCCTTCTGCACACTGAAGTGGCAGCAGCACGGAAGGCACTTTGCATAATTCAATATCTGAAGTACTGTTAGCAATGTAACAGTGGCAAGAAGGAGATGAGCTACCCCAACAGGAAATTTCATCACTACCAGAATGCTAACCAGCCAGTTTAAGGATAATCTCTTCTGTGGTAATTTAAGGACTAGTTTTATGTTCTTCCAATCAGGAAATTAAATTTGTTGGCTTCTGCTGAAAGAAAAATGTTCATATGATCATAGAGAAATGTTTGCACAAAATCTAAGTACCTCTTTGCTTTCTTCCAAATCTGATTCACTGCTAAATTCCTCTGTGTTTAAATTTTCGAAGTCAGATTCACCCACAGCAATGGGCACTGTCACCGTGAGGCTTGGGTTGTTTATGAAGGACATGTAATCGCTTTCATCAATTATGTACTTTTCCACACTGCTGCCCGTGCCTATGCCACTAGTTGTTCCATTTCCGTCTTTATTGAAATCATGATCCTTGCTGATTTCCATATTTGTATGGTTAGAAATACAGCTATTTTTGTTGTTTAAATCATCAAGTGGTTTGATTTCATCTAATGCTTTTTGTTTTTTAACAAAAGCTTTTTGGAGGAATTCACGTGCTTTTCTTTTCACATAGTCTATGCCTTTCTGCATTCTTGCTACAGCAATCTGGAGATTGTTCATTTCATTGTCATCATCCGTGACAGCAAGGTTGTCTGCACTAAAGGAGCTCAACAGCAAAGCCAAAAATAGGTTCAGTACCTGCAGAAAGATTAAAAAAAAAAAAAAGACATTCTAGAGTTTATCATAATGAGGAATATTTATTTTATAAAAATTTGTCATATTAGGTAATACCTAAGAGGGAAGTCCCAATACGTCACAAAAACCAAACAAAAAATACCTTTTCTTTCCTCCAGAACAAGATGGGGTTTTTATTTTGCTTTAGCTGATATCCAGTACTGAAAAATGTCCTATTACTGTCTTATATCTGTAAATGTGTCCTTAGATCCCCCAAAAATTTTTCATGCAAAAGCTTGTAATCTAAAAAGGGAGATAAACTTTGCTACACAACATCATCAGAAACTTAATATAACCCATCACACAGCAGAAATTATCTTGGATTATTTAGTTGCTAATTATATGTGATAAATAATAAAAAATCTGCAAATGGTTTATAAAGAGCCCATAAACTAAAATTATGTGAAGCACAAAATATTTGCAAACAGCCAAAAGACAAATTAAGAATATGTCTAAGCGCTCACTCCACCATTACACTCTGTATTTCAACATTGCAAGGTGCAGAATACTTTGTTCCGAATTCAAGAAAGCTTTTATACTTAACTCTAAGCACTGCTTCAAACCACCTGCCTAAGTGCTTTGCTGAAGTAGAGCCAGAACACTTAGTGCATTCGGCACTGAGCCCACCCTCCTGCCAAATAATTTTTGTTAATGTTTTGATTACATACCACTAGGTTTCCAATCACCATGACCATCATGAAGACAGTAAGGCACATGGCTTGGCCCGCAACCTCCATGCAGTCCCACATGGTCTCTATCCATTCCCCACACAGCACTCGGAACACAATCAAGAAAGAGTGGAAAAAATCTTGCATGTGCCAGCGGGGAAGTACACAGTCACTTGCGATTTTGCAGACACATTCCTTGTAGTTTTTGCCAAACAGCTGCATCCCAACGACAGCAAAAATGAAGACAATGATGGCCAGCACCAGGGTCAAATTTCCCAGAGCTCCCACAGAGTTACCGATAATTTTTATCAGCATATTTAGTGTTGGCCAAGATTTTGCTAATTTGAAAACTCGTAACTGGAAAGAGAAAAAGAAAAGCCATTATTAGGACAAGCAGCAAGAGAGGCACAAAAGGATTTTAAAGTTAAATTGTGGAAAGGTTTCACTGCAAAGTATGACTGGAGTATGACTGCTGAGATGGTATCCTCTTCTCTAAAAGCACGATGACAGAAGTGCCAGCCACAAAATTTTGCGAAGTTAGAGCTAAGTGTCCTCAAACCATAATTTTTACTGAAAGTCAAAGCTACTGCACATACTAAATGGAATTTAAAATCTAGGGTTCATATCTTACAAAACATCTGGCCCTCATTTCTCTATTTTTTATTTGCAGAGAAGATCTACCCCTGTGCTGTCAAACAGGGCACCACACATTTAGTAGGGCTGCTTGTTTTCACCTCATGGAATATCTGAAGAGTGTAAGTGCAATAAACAAAATTGAGACAGGTCCAGGCAACTTTTGCCATCCACTTGCCTGGATCTCCACCTGTTCCACTATGCACAGTAGAATACTTCACATAAAATAATTTGAATTAGTGAAAGAGATTCCACGATTAGTATCAGTATCATGGCAAGCATCAAACAAATTTCTAAAGAAAATAGAGTATCCTTAGCGGAATGAAGTCCCATTAAAAAAATCAGTGCAATGGATATGTATTTACCAGTCTGAATGATCGCAGAACTGAGAGTCCTTCCACATCTGCAAGACCAAGTTCAACCAAACTAAGGGTTACAATAAAACCATCAAAAATATTCCAGCCTTCCTGGAAATAATAGTAAGGGTCCATTGCAATTATCTTGAGAAACATTTCTGCTGTAAAGATCCCAGTGAAGACCTGGATTCAAAATGCATTTTGTTATTGCTATGTAAAATGAAATATTACAAGTTTAACTGTTCAGTTTTTACATTGAAGCAACATAACTGCAGTGTTTCATCCCAAACTGATACTTAGAAATATTTCAATGTAGTATAATAATTTATTATGCCCCCCTTTCTCTTGGCAAGTGCCATACACAAAATATTTTTTTTCAGTTATTTAAAGTTTAGACTAAACAAATCACATAAACTTCAGGTTTATAATGTTTATAATCCAATTTTAACTTTATCAGGATATGGACTTTCTCATTAACTGTACAAGCAATGTCTTGGATTTGATTTTCACAACATAAAGCAGAACACTTTCCAAGAAATTATATGGTATAACATCACTCCTGGTATACTACTAACATTCCACGGAGAGATTAATGAGGCCAAATCTAAGACTTCTGAATGTCAGTTCTTTTTCTGGTATAAACTACCATAATTCCATTCAATTCAAAAGAGAAGCTTATTTATACCAGCTGAGGCTCAACTGAGCTGCAAAAGCCGAGGAACTTCCGTATGGGTGTTTCCACTGACTGCAGTGAACATCAGATCACTAACATGAGGAAGGGGATGGCATTTAATAATGCATTTGGAAAGCGATATTGCCACAACACTTTCTTACCAGGGGACATAGTATAGTGTAACTGGAAACAGTATACTTAACCCACATTTAAGAGTCACCAAAATATTGCCTCTCTGTAGCTTTGAGAAAAAGCTCTTCAGGTCCTGGGAGCATTAGAAGAACTTCCCATAGGATAAGAAACTACTAATGGTTCTTTCAGTTTTGATAACCCATTTTCAAGCAAGCTGAATTGAAAGCTGAACAGAAGAGTCTGCCTTTCTCAGCCTCTATGCCCAGGCTAGATTTTACTGCTGTTTTAAAATTCATCACAGATATGAATACTGGAGAGTGAAATGATTTTTTTTTGTCCTTTTAAGTTAGAGATTTGGAGTAGGAGGTGGGAATGAAGAAATATAGTCTGAAAATGTGAATAAGCTTCCTAAACATAAGAAAAGTGAGAATTTAGAGACCTAGTGTGGAACTACTGGCTTGTGAAAACCCTGCAATTTCTCCAGCACAGATTAAGAAGTTCATGAAGGTGTTTGCTACCGGGAGTTTAAGATTGGAAGAGAGATGAGATTATAGCCAGGTCCTCTCTCACCCTCTTTACAGTCTGGTATTCCCCTAATATTCACCAAAGTCTAGATAGAATTGTTTTAGATGGAAAAAAAAACTATAAATGCTACAATGCAAGATTTTACAATTATTAGGAAGCACATGTTCAGAGGTTCGTTTAAGTATATGAAAAGAGGTTATGCATTTATTTATTAATTCTCCATAGTAAGTCTGGTATTACATGATCTTAAATATTTTTTCTCGTTACAAAACCAGGTGTATTAGAAATCTCTTAAGAAGAAATCAGTTCTTAAAATAACAGACAAAGTAGGACTGCAGGTGCAAATTCTTCTACATGATCAAACTTGTCAGTTCAAAAGCCTCAGAGCTACAGAAAATTAACTGCTGGATTCCTTAATAATTCATGTTTTTGAAGTAGAAGAGAGTTGACATGAAGAAAAGATATCTTCCTAATTTTATGTTACTAAAAACTCCAAGAGAAAAAAATACTGCAGGATATTTTTCTAGTTTTACATAAAGCATAGAGAAGGAATCAAAATATCATCATGAGAAGTCATTTAGAGAAGAAAATACTAGAAATGCTTTTAAATAGCTTTCACTTTTTGCAAAACTGTGCTCAGGAAAGAGAGCAACAAGAGGAACACAATCAAAAACACATTCATAATTTACACTTTTGTAATGTACTGATTGAAAAAGCACTGCTACATTTATTTGTGCATTCTCCTTTGCACAGCAGTAATACATTTCCTGGATTAGCAATTAGATAAATCAAATTTTATTTAAGATGGACTTAATGTAGCATTGGTGCCATTTTTTAAATATTTAATTTGTCTTAGTAGAACATGGGCACATACTGGTTTTATAGAATCCTAATTTACATGAGCCAGGGTTGAAGGTGAAATTGCCAAAAATGTTCTGAGAGATATTTCTAGAGGTCAATGCATTCGCTCTCTAAAGGGGTGGAGGAAAGCCCTTGAGATGCCTGCTTTCACTTGCTTCAGGCATAGTTCCTTGAGGATTGTAACCACGGAAAAGTAAAAACATGTCACATGATAACAAAGAGACTTACCAGATTTCCGACTGAAAGAACATTATTGAATTCCGGAGTCATTGGATAATGTTCCATGGCCATAAAGAGTGTATTTAAAACAATGCAAATAGTAATGGCGAGATCGACAAATGGATCCATCACCACTAAGTTGACGATATGTTTTACTTTTAGCCAGTGTGGACTGCAGTCCCAGATCAAGAAAATATTTGCAAATTTATACCAGCATGGTGGGCATTTTTGTCTTGATTCTTCAAGTTCTAGGGGAAAAACATGCCAGGTGAGTATATGATTGCGCTAACCTTTCTCAAAACTCTATCAGTCAAATGGTCAAGCTGCACTGGTTGCCATTGATCTTCTACAAGCATGCCCTTTGTAATTCTTACAGAGCTTTTCTATAAACCTTTCGAAGTTTTTAAGCCAATATGTTTATATATTCTTTCAAAGCTCCTCTGCCTACCACAACTTCTTTGTATTTCAATCACTACTCTAGTCACCAGCAATTTATGAAATGATTTCTACTTTGTATTTTATTATTCCATGATTAAACCTCAGGCCATTTCCTCAACTTGCTGTTCCAGTATTTTTATTTTGAAACCCACAGTGTTTAGATATGAACTTCTAATGTCATTTTAATTCCTATTTTAAGAAAAAAAACTTTTATCAGCTAGAATAGAACTTCTTTATAGAATAACTGAATAAATATACCTGCTAGAAAATGTACATATTTTAGGAATGATAGCATATATTTGAATATTGTTTTATGCGAGCTCAAATTTTGTGCTCAGCAATATATTTTTTAATTAATATGCATAAGCTTGTATTCAATTCTGATCCTTCATGTAACTATCTAGTCCTAAAGTGCACATGAGATAAATGATAGCAAAATAGTGAGATATGATTGCTTTCTTACTTAATAGATAGCAAATATGGCAATGAATATGAGGTGTGGGGTTTACTGATAAGTATTTGCTGGTTTATGGGACAATATAGATTATTTTAAATCAGTTTTTAAGTGTCAATTCAAAGTTACAGAAGTTCATTGAAAAGCAGCATTTAAATATTAAACTACACATGGTACACACCTTCCACAGTGTTTGTGAGTATGCTAGCAATGC